CTCTGTGTCGAATGCCAGGAGGCTTGTTGAGACAAATAATTGCAACCCATAGTTCTAAGTAACTGTGTTTTTCCTTACTTGCCTTATCAATTTTGACCCATTTCAGGCTAGGAGTGTCCCACGAGTGACCTGACAGTTCATGCAGACTGTGACGGGCACGTGATGGGCACTTTGTGGATGTAGGTCAACTTGACTGAACGTGCAAAGCCGACCTTGTTGCAAGGTTGGCTTTTGTGAAGATAACGGCAGTTTTGGAGGGATTGGAAACCACCTGGTTTCCAGGTTTTTTTACCTGCCTATTTCAGTCTACCATGTTAGGATAGAAATTAAAAATTTTTAGCGTAGAATTTTAAACTTTGAAACCATAGACGGAAAATCATCCCTTTTGGTTCTGTTTCTTGTGCTCTGTTTTCAAATACTGGGTTTGGACATCTGATCCACCTGAAAATGCACTTTCCAGATGAATTAACGTTGTTGGAATGAATTTTACACTCTTTTCCCTTGTCTATGGATATTTCCTTTTATTTCTGTTCTGTAATTGCGAGAATAGTTTTGTATTTAAAGTTATACGTGCTGGTCTAACTCAGGTATCTTAATCCAATAAAATCCTTTGTAGAAGGTAAGTCGCAAAGATTAGGACTGTCCGCTTCATCAGATTTCTTTCTCTTCAAAAGTAATAAGAAATGACCTGAAATATTCTTTCCCAGTCTCAACAGCCAGTATCAAGGGAAAAGCTCACAGCAGCGCAGTGTGATCGCGGTACATGCCAGCTCCACAGCCCAAAGGAGTTGATGATCCGACAATGATTAAGACTTTTTCCTAGATTACTGTGCAGAAAAATATGCTCAGTGACAGCTACTTTGTATTCAAATTCCGGAATGGGCATCTCACCAAGGTGAACAAATCTACTCCAAATGGACAGCTACTAGTATTTCAGACATAAAAGCTAACTTTTTTGTTTTCCTATCATATCATTATTATTAGAAAGTTGTCCCTGACAGTTTGAGGGCTTCAAAATCTGCTACTGGGAATGTGCCTTGGTATTCATGATGATGTGATAAACCAGGAGAAACTGAAGGAAACAAAGTGTTATTGCTCTTTTGGAGCCAGTGTTGGTGTAATGCTGTGATGCCTTCACCAGAAGGAAGATGCCTCTTTGTTCTCCTCTATGTTTAGGAAGTTCAGGATGTCTGCCTTTAACACAGTTTACAGGCTAAGTAGACAAAGACAGGAGGATGAAAACAATTGTCACGTCCATTTTGCAGCGGCAAGTTGGCGGAAAGGGCTAGAAAGGGTAATTGAAGCACATAGGAATTGAGGTGGAGGGTTTTGCCATTTTCTCTACCAAGACACAAGTCCATGGTCGAGCTGGGCTCCCAACGCCCTCTCCAGGTTCACAGGGCAAGCCTTAATCCCCAAACTATCCTTTCTTTTCTCTTTCTATATGAAGATCTGTGATTTAAAAGGGAAAAATGAATTCTACTTAAAAAGCATGTGTGAGTTAAACTAGTTGTACTCTAAGACACAGTGATTTTAATTCTATTGTAAGAGAACAAAAGGACTTCTGTGACTCAGAAATAGGCTACTGTTTCACCAGCTTCCAGTTGTTCAAGTGGTTCTTTATTCTTTTTTTTTTTAAACTGCTTTATCAGAGAGGATTCTTCCTTGACCTTAACTTTGTTTCACTATTTTCCTTCAGAACATTAAGTTTCACTAATGCCAATTCAAGCCGACATCCCTCAGCGAGTAAAGGAGTAAATTAAATAGGGAAATACATTTCCTCTTCTGCTGATACAATTTGATGTAGATTTTGAAAGCAAATCCCCTAAATAGAAGGGGAAAATTACGGACAGTGCTGCTTCAGCCATCCTGAACTCAGTTCTGCCTCCTAGGATATCAGGGAATAGTTTGTGTGCATTGGTGAAATCTTCTCTTCTGCCACAAAAACCATTCCCAAAAGGAAAACGGCAAATTGTAGTTTAAGAGTAGAAAGAACTAGAAGACATAAATCTGCAGAATTATTTACTGTGGTTTAAATAATCTGACTCTCATAAGGTTCTCTCTGCATTCACATTGGATGATTTTGTAGGCATCATTGTGGGAATAAGTTGTATCAGCATGGAAATGATATTTTGCGGCTCTTAAGACTTATCACAAGTGATTCTTCCCAAAATGTTCTGAACAGAAGTGCTCACAATGTGCTTTTTCAATTGTTCTAAACAGAAACTGTAAACCAGCAACCTAATATCTGTATTTATAGTAATTCCCATTTCATCTTGCAACTCAGTTTTGAAGATATTGATTGTAATGGGAGAGTATTATGGCAGTTCATGAGATTCAAACTGATCTTTCAAGGTCTTGTAGCAAAACCATACAAATACTTTTCGGGGGACTCAACGACTGCTGCAAAAAGAGGAAAGTAAAATATCTGAGTTTGTTACATAAGTGTGTACATTTTAAAAACAAAAAAATCACAAACCTAAAACGCCCTTTCTGAATGATATTTATTTTTCTTTCACATTAGAACTGTACCATTCTAAGTGCTGATGTGTTTCCAATCACAGTACCACCTGAGCAGGGCATAATTTTTCCTGTATTTATGCTTATGACTGCATGTCAGAATAAGAGAAAGTATAGTTTCATCTCTTCCCAGATGACAAACAAGGAAATGTGCCATTTGCTTGAAAGAAAAATCTATGGTTAAGCAAGAATCTGAACCTGGGTCTCATGCAAAGCAGTCCAGCATCCTAGCTGGGGACATTATTGTGCTCAATAATAAGAAATTTGAACTCTGGAATTATCTGAGAGATGTTTTTGTCATGTAGCAATCCGTTTTATTCCGCAACTGCTTTTTTAACTTTACAAGTTACTAACATCAATTGACTGTCAAAGAAGTACCACTGTGGACTCATGAATAAACTTAGTTATCATTTCCCTATTAACAGAGGGCCTTTAGCTGAAAAGAAACCATTTGTGCTACTGCAATATCTTAATTATTTACGCTGTTATATTGTAATTAGTTGTATTTTACTCTCTCAAAACTCTCTAGTATGTATATCTTGCAGGGTTTGGAGCCAGTGCACTAATATTAAAGTGGTAATCAACACTGCTTCTAAATATTCATGCCAATAAATGACTCCCATGTGTTCCCTGAGTGCCAAGGATAGTCTGAAGCGTTTATTTAGCATTCTAGTGGGATCTAGTTTCTGCAGAGTTCACAGAGATGGAGAATTTCAATATTGTTGCCGTTCTGCATGGGGAGAGGGAAAATATGTTTGAACTTGCACGGGCGGTGGGGCAGGACACTTGGAAGAAAGCGATGGCATCTCAGTCCCAATCTGTGCTTAATAATGTCTGAGAGTTGTCAGCTATTTTTTCACTGTAACAGAATTACAATTTTGTTTAGTCTACGGCAGCCTCCTCACAATTGCACTTTTTAATAACCATCTACCATTTTCCAAATAATTTGGAAATCATTACATCTCCTGGGCGGGGTGCTCTGACTGTCACGCAGCCGGGGCTCCATCAAGGCACCGCTGTAGCAGTTACAAATGCAGATGCGTTTCTCAATAAATCAATTAAACGCCATAACCCTAAAATTACCCTGCTTCGGCGCTGCAATCGGCTGACATAAATCTCCAGAAAAGCGTATTGAGTGTGCAGAGGAGCAACTGATGTACTGAGCTACTGTTGGAATTTCGAAACAAGGAAATGCTGTCTCTCAATGCAGTAAGTTTGCTTAATGAAATGTACGTTAACTGTAAACAGGCTTAAAATATATGTGAGTTCAGTCTTTTGGGTTAACAGTAACTAGCATATTGTAAACTGGGCTTTCTCATTGGAAGTAGAGTTTTAAAAGCCTGTAAAAGGTGCACAACAAACAAGTGTTTGAGCCTCTTCTCCCTCCTGCCTCCAAGGGCAAAGGGATCCCCAGCCCTTTCTGACCATCTTTCACAGCTTCCCCCAAAAACAGCCGAGTTACTTTCAGATGTCGGAGGTGAAAAAGAACTTGGTTCATAATCAGGGGAACGGCAATATGAAGATTGCACGCAGTCACGATGGCGCTGAAAATGTAATCCAGATGGTCTGATCCCTGTGCCATGCTGGAGTGCAATTGGGATTTCCGTGTGCTCGCCTGCTGATGTCTTGTTCAGCAAATTCTCTTGAATACTTGTATACTTTGCCTGTTGTTCCCATAGAGATACTTGGTAAAACCAATGACTGTATTTATAATTGCTCCAACACCAAGTCTGTTTTCTTCTTAAAGTTAAAATTTGATCATTCCTTCTGAGGACTTTAAAATACATATTAAAATATTTAGCTGTATATAGTGGGGGGGGGAAATGTTTAGCATGACTGTACTTTATGTTTAGTTACCACGATGGTCTTGGATCACACGTGCAGTTCTACACGTGAATATTTAGCATACCCAGCCTTAAGGGGAAAGGCATTTCTGTCAGAGCCACCCTGCTGAGCGTGACCACAGCACCACAGGTCTGCTCTTAGCGCAGGAGGTCGTCGCTTCTGCACATGGGTATCTTAGACTGAAAATGGTCACGCAAAGCCCAAACCTGATTACCTGAACCTCTGGTGCAGCAAGATTGAGCCTTAATAAGAGATCATGTAGGGTTTTAATGTAGTTATGATATTATATGGAGAGGAAAAAGAGAAATTTCAGAGCTGGATCAGCTCTAGAGTCGATGTGGCCTGCATCTCCACATGCACCTTCCCAGGTGAGATGCACTCGGATGTGCAAATCTGCAAGTGATGCGATTGCTTAAGGGCACACCATGGTGTCTAGAACACAGGGCTGTGAAACCCTGCTGTTGATATTTGTTCACGTTGAGCAGAGGCTAAAGAGCTCCGACAGCACAAACGTTTCTTGCTTGCTCCTCCCAAGTGGGACCTCATCCTGCACCGACAGACGGGTGCCCAGAAGCAGGATTGCGGGGTGATGGGCTCTGGGTTTGGACTCAGGCATCTCTGTTTTGCTTTTTCAGAATCACCCAGCACTGCTGCAGTTTGTAATACAAGTTGAAAGTAGACATCTAGTCATCAATCTGGAGAGGAATGAGTAAGTACCCTTGTTGCATGGTCACTTTGTACTGGAGGTTCTCAGAGAAGGGTTATAATTTTAAAATTCATGGTTGTGAAGTAACCTGGGGCCAAGTTTGCTACTAGTCTCTTATGGAACAGGCCCCTAACAAGAGAGTTTTCTTCCAGTGTGTATTTGCACACTGCTGGTAGAGCAAAATCTCTACTGTCGTCTGCATTTATGTGGGACTGAAAACGGGCATATGCCTCTCAGGGTTTTCCTTTGATTGCTGGTTTTGTTTGATTTGGGTTTGTCCTCCTTTCCTGCGGTAAGCTCTTTTATTTACAGTCGTGTGGAAAATCCTACAGTCTTTGGAACTCTTTTTTTGGAGGACCCATCCCTCCTAATGCTGCCGGTGACCACGGTTGACTCTGCGCTGCCGGAGATTGCTCAGGGAAGTTGAGTCAGGCATTTGGGTTTAACGCCTGCTGGAGTTTTTAATGGGAGCTTTCTGGGTCTGCTGGCCAAGGGGCTGATGATGTTTCTGCTGTTCATGAAGGCCGTGACCACAGCTGAGCTTGAGCCCTGGTTTGTGAGATTGTAAATATTAAATCTGCTTCCATGTGCTCTTGAGAACTGCCCACGCCCATAAGCTTTCAGAGGGTGTACCAGGGGCTGCTGAGGAGCTGGTCCCATGGGCATAAACCCAGCAGAGCTTTTACAAAGGGGAACCTTACAGAAATGCAGTCACTTCTCTGGAAGTGCATGAGAAATGGAACCAAAGTCATCAGGGTCTTAGTCTACCTTCTCAACTGTTCGACTGTTTTTCCTCCAAGAGCATCTCAAGACTGCATTGTGGGATATATTGTCCCAGATCAGGACAACTACATGCTGCTTGTCAAAGGAAAAACAAAGATGACTCTCAACCTAGGGCAAGCCTTTCTATAAATGTAAGCGAGGATCTGTGTGTTCTGCAAGTTTCCCTGCTGTGCAATGAAAGCAGCAGAGGTATTTTTTTTATAATAATAGCCTGTAGACGTAAGTGGTGCAGCTTTATGTGTTAAGAGGAAGGAATGTGCCTGTGAAAGCAAATGTCCAAGGGAGGCCGGGTACATGCTGGCTCAGGCTGGTGACGGACAACTTCAATGGGAAATGATGAGGCACCTCTTTAGTCCTCTGCCGTAAAACAACGCAAAATGCTTTTTATTTCCAGCCATTTGGATGAAGCCTAACATTACCCAGCTTGATAAAATCCAGCTCACTTTATTGTTCAACATCAGGCCCAAATCCTGTGCTTTCTTTACGTTATTTTTAGAGCTCCTTAGCTGTTCATTTCCTACCTTGAAGGGTATGTAGATCCTCCATGCGCAGGTTGCTTTGTTTCAGTAACTAGAGGAGGTTTTAATTCCGTTAACAAACAGGGATTTAACTTTATATTCTCTTAATGTTTGTCGAAGGGTGTGCCTTTCTTCAGGAATGGGAACTATGCAGCAATTGAGGAAACTATTTACATTCCATGTCAGCCATTAAAAGAACATAAAACTGCCAATACAGGGCTTCCCGAACATACCAGACTCTCTTGTACCTGCAATAAAGTCAGATTTAGAAAACTAAGATGCAATCTCTACCTCTTTTAGAAATAGGACATGAAAGAACAGTAAATTAACTCTTCGAGCACCTGTTGACTGACTAGATTTGGAGATGTTGAGATCTGCTCCTTAAGAAATCTAGTATTTCTCAATGATTACTTTTCAGTTTACCTATGGCTATGATGGGGTGTCCACCAGAAGATTTGTATTCTAGAAGAGCTGTGTATGATGTTAACGACACGAGGTTCCTCGTCTTAGCAGGAGTTTCTAGATAGTGTTGTAGAACATTGCAGTTAGCCTTGCCTGTGTTTGGCATTTGTAGCATATAGGGTGGTTCATAGATCCCAAACTGCAGAAAAACTTGGTCATGGCTTTGCAAAATTATTTCTCCCTTTTCTCCAGCATTACTGACTGTGGTTTTCAGAAGATATAATGGTCTGAGTGTTGCAAGCCCATACAGAAGTTGCTGGATAGGTCTATTTGTTACTGTTTCTGTAAATAACACAGTGTATCAGTCTGCAGTGCTGGGCAAACAATCCGTGCTTCTCTGTGGAAATTGATGGTTGCGTTTCTTCTGCCTGTAGTGACGGTGTTGGGTGTGTTGTCACTGGCATGGAGAGGCAGGTGGCAGCAGAGGAGATGAGCGTTTGGGGCATGAAGCAAAGCTGTTGCTTCCAAGGTTGTCCTACAGGTTCATGGAGAGAAAAATCAGTGTCCAGGAGAGAAATGAGAGCATGCATTTCTGCAGAGCAGGAGACAAGGGACACGATTTAGTGGTGTTAATAGGGCTAGGACAAAGGTTGAACTCGATGATCCTGAAGTTCTCTTCCAACTGAAACTGTTCTGTGATTCTGTGGGGGCTAACAGCAGGTGGCAGCGGGCCAGACTGGACCTGAGGTGGATTATGGACTCCAGAGGTGTGAGAAGGTCCTCGTGTGCCTGGAGAAGGGAGTGAAGTTTCCACCTTGCAGCTCCTGCCCATGGTTCTCCAGGGCTTCAGAGAGGAGCAGCAACTGTGCACGCAGACCCTGTCTCCTCCAGCCTGCTCTGTCCTCTTGATGTTGGCATGAAGCATACTGCTCAAATATCTTGAAAGCATTGATACTGAGCCATGTTGGAGTAGCCATTAAATCGACATCCTTGAGCTAGAAGTGGAGTGCTAAATACAAACATCTTTTCCTGAGTAGTAAGTGACAACACATCTGAAGCTCTGATACGTATGCTGTTATTTTACTGTAGTTTCACGTAAAGCATGTTATTCCTTGGAGAATGGTGGGGGTGGAGGTGGATGGGACCCCTAAATTACATAATTTCTGCATTGGGTCATGCAGAAAAAACACTGGATGTGATTTTCCATGGTTAGTAAAAACAGCTGCTTTGAGTAGTCTTGACATTAAACTCCATTTATTGAAAACCTTAGAGATTTTCCAAACCTTGAGTTATATTTCAAAACATGATTCAGATGCGTTAGGCAAGCCCAAGTAGGGACTGATGTGTTAAACCATCTGTTATCTATGGAAATATTTAATGTCAGTTTGGTGTTTTGTGATATTTAGACTCAGCAAGATGTGTTCATACGTACCGGGCAAGATGTATTAAGTTAGTTCTGGAAGAGTTACTGGTACCTAACATCACAGTTTAGGCTTTAAAATCTTCTCTGTGGTCTCCAGCTGTTACGATTACTTTTGTACATATTCATTAAATACTCTAGTGATTAGTTTTCAGGCACTGCTCATTTGTAAATGCAAAACCAAAATTATTTGCCGTGAACTCAATCTGTCAATTGCAGAAAACCTGCTAGCAAGCTAATGTTGCAAGCACATTTCTTACTATGATTTAGTTGCAGAGTATGATTGCACTCTTGAGAACCTTAAGCTGTGTAGTACCTTAAATGTCTTAGAAACACTTGTCATATGGAGAGATCTCCAGAATCAGCAAATCATTGATCAGCTGCAAAATAAACCACACTTCAGAGCAGCTGACTGTGCTGGTGTGCATTACATCAGTAATACTGATGCACTTCTGTTGTGCAAGGGACAGTAATGTATGCACATATAAATTCCTTTAAAGTGGATTGCAGCACGTGGGGCTCAGAGGAAAGTACTCTTACTATTGTGTAAATGAAACAAGACCCCCAGTAAGATTAAATCTTGAGTTGGAGAGTGGAACGGTGTGTGACTACTGGCTGTTTTTCTGCAACTGGAAACATTTTGCGCTCTCTCAGAAGTAGGTCTGTGTGCAGCAAAGGGCTTAAGTGTCCCTTTAACTTTAAACATGAGTAACCCAGGTAAAGTCAGTGGAATCACTTATTTTCAAAATTAATTTCATGCTTAAGTGGTTTGCTGACAAAGGTCATAATTATGAATGTCAAAGAAATATAACTTTGAACAGATGTCAGAGAGCTTTTTGCAGCGTTGGCTCCTGTATATACCTGAGTTCCTGGCAGATAAAAAGCTAAGATAAGTCGAGAGCGTGTGAGGACAAATATGGAGGTAGGATGGCTTTGCCCTGAGGGCATCGACACCATCTCAGCTGTGCCCTGAACAGGTTCCTTCTAGTGGGACTTCGTTGACCAGCTCTGCCGAGTGAGCAGTGACTGCATGAGAAGCGTGATTGTGGCTGATGGGCCATTGGAAGTGTCCAGGGGAGCACGGAAATGAAAGAAAAACTCAAATATTTTAGAGAAGCAAAATTCGCTATTCATTTCCCAAAGACTTTATGCTGGGTTTTTGTCATGTTCATAACACAACCTTTAACAAAGCAATAGAAAATTGGGAATGTATGATGATGGATTGTGACCTCTTATTCCTTCAGTAAAAATTCTTTTATTTCATTAGGAGGCAAAATCCACCCTTATCATAGAATCATGAGGTCACAGAATGGTTTGGGTTGGAAGGGACCTATAAGATTGTCCAGTTCCACCCCCTGCCCTGGGCAGGGACACCTCCCACCAGCCCAGGTTGCTCCAAGCCCCGTCCAACCTGGCCTTGGGCTGGGGCTGGGGCTGCCACAGCTTCTCTGGGCAACCTGTGCCAGGGCCTCACCATCCTTTAAATCCCCTTTGATCCTAGAGATCTCCAGAAGTTTAGAGCATCTCTGACTGTCCCTCTTGTACGTTAAGAATTTCTACGTGGAGACACAGTACCCAGTATGTATTGGGGTGGAAAGATCCAGTACTGGAGGTTACTTTGAAAGCAGAGCTCCAGGACAGAGAAGGTTCCAGCAGGCAATAGGTGTCTTCATGCACAGTTTTAATGTGACCTCTTCCCATGAGGCTTTAGAAATCTTTTTCATTATTTTTCAGTTAAAAGGAAAGAAATATTTTTCTCTTCTGCCCAACCTTTCTGAATAGGAGCGCTGATTGGTGTGCAAGTGACATTCTAGCAGAGGAACAACCCATTTCCAGTGCCAAAGAATAAGGCTGACAACACTTGTTGATGAATGGGCATG